AATTCTTCAGGGCCTGTAAGATGAAGCTGTTCCGCCAGGCCTTTGGTTGAGGCAGAGAGCATCCAATGAAGTCAGTATCCCTCACTGAAGTTTGTCATCATTATTTGGCCCAGATTAAGAAGATCTCTGGACCTTATCACTCCAGCTGAAACTGTGTTTGTATTTATATACAGCTGTTTTAAACTGTATTACTTAGTTGTTTTAAAGATTGTTAAATTTATTAGTGTATGTGTTTATCTACTTATGATGTGATCCACTCTGAGCCCGCTTGTGAGGAGGGCGGGATACAATCCAAAATAAATAAATAAAAATTTTCAACACTGATTTTGTGAGCTGAGCTTGGGTTCCTGGATAGATGCAATTCATGGGGAGAAGTCCTTGAGTAAAATATGTAAAGTGTCAAAGTCTTTGTGTGTGTGTGGCAACCCTACTGGGAACCTAAATTTGTATTGTGGCCCTAAGATTAACACCAGATGTGAGGCTGTTTGCAGAGCAGAGAGTAGAGATTTTTGCTGCTAGGGAAAGCAGGGAGATAGCAGTTAAGATATGGACTAGTGGATATCCTCCTTCATCACCTGTTGAGGACACCCCTGCTTCATAAGACGACATTGCATTATCTGGGTTGTCTATTTTATCTAGTGTATAATCTGTTTTAGTTGCCTCTATAATCCAACCAAAGTCTTGTGTGACAAAAGAGATTTCTCTCAATGGAAAATGTGTGCATGCAAAATTACTTAGAAGTCTGAAAGCATTGTTCAAAGCTCTGGAAAAAACATAGCGGTTTCTCCACAGGAAGTCTGTGATGCTGCTTATAATAAGAACAAATCTTTCAGAGCAGGTGACAGTGAGTTTAATGTTTTGACTCAGGCACCTTGTTCTACCTTCAAGTATTGCTATGTGTTACCAATGCAATGAACATGAAATTGAGCAAACTCTGGAGGACAGCAGAAGACAGGAGGGCCTGACGTGATGTGGTCCATGGGGTCGCGAGGAGTCGGAGTTGACTGTGCGACTGAACAACAAAAAATTGCTATGTGCAATGTAAATGGATTTAAGATGATGGCTGATATCTAGGAGTGCCTCAACCAAAATCTTAGCCAATTAATTTTTTAGTTGATTACTCAATTAAATTTGAAAACATACTTCCATTGTTATCAGATGCACATGTATATCATAGCAATTGTAATCTTAGATGAGACATTCTCTTCTGTGTGTATAACAGAAGGGTGAATGTCTCATCTAACACCGCACTTGCCATTTTGTGAGTACTTGAGAACCCAAGAAGAGCCCTGCTAGATCAGATAGTCCATCTAGTCTAGTATCCTGTTTTTCATACTGTCCAGCCAGTTTTCCTTGAAAACTCACAAGCAAGGCCACAAAGACATTCCCCTGTTTTTTCTTCCCAGCAACTGATTTTCAGAGGTATGCACTGTATGAATATGGGGATTTCATTTAGCCATCATGGCTAATAGCCATTGTTGAACCTAACTTCCATACATTTGTCAATTCTGCTTCAATGCCACTTACTCTAGTAGCTGTCACAACATCCTGAGGCAATGAGGACTACAAGTTAACTATGTTCTGTGTGAAGATGTATTTTGTTTCGTAGATTCTGAACTATGGCCCAACAACTTCATTGGGTGCTCATGAGTTCTAGTACTGACAGAAAGAAAGAAGCTATTTTTAAACACTTCCTCTACACCACGCATAATTTTACAAATCTCTATAATGTCCTGCTTCTGGTAGTCTTGTTTTCTAAACTGAGCCTCAAGTTTGACTAGATGGACTGTTCTTCTTCAGTGGATTTTTCACTAGATTTCCCATTGAGTAGGATTTGTTTGTTTGAATTTCAGTGAATAGGCATCTGTGGGAAACCTTTGAATTTCCCCCATATTGATGACAAGGGCAACCCACATTTTTGCAAGTTATTGATTTCTAATTAATCTTTACTAAAATTAAATGAGTTATCTGTGTGTGAATATTAAATTCCAAATAGAAAAAATATAAAAGCAATACCTTTTCTGTTAGTAGCTATTATTAAAAAGTTTAAGAAACTACCAGCTGACTGAGGTGGTATATCTTTATCTAGATGGCACGTTGAAGCTCATATGATTAAATGCCCTCCATACAAAATAATTCCTTGACCATTAAAAAGAATACCTTGATGCTGACTCCATCACCTACATCCGGGTTCAGAGAGAAGAACAAAGCAGATGTGCTGAAGCAGATGTTCTCATATACCCATTGGAGTAGACTTGTGTTGTCCCTAGATGTTTCCACAAATTTGCACACAGTGGCTATTTCGAATTTCTGAAAGGAGCTACAAACAGGGAGGCGCAGTAGACCCATGGCCCTTGTGATCTCTATTGTGTTCTATATGTGAGAAGCTCTTTTGGGGGGCATGAAGGAATTATATTCATATATGTTGTACAAGCATGCTGAAGTGATGCAGTCCAAACACCAGTGAAGACCAGACAATATATTACTTTGGGGAACTGTCATTAGATCCAACTGAAAGGTAATTTAGCTTTTAAAGAACTGCTGTACCATATTGGATAAGGATCACATGTAAAATGGAGTTGAATGCCTAGTGTTCACCTATAAGGCGGCTGCACTCCATGTTGCCTTCACCATAGTAAAAGTATGAAGAGCTTAATAGTTAACAGAGCTACATTTATCATTGCAGTACATATGTAGAAGGGAATCATGGGAGACATTTGCAGCTGTTGAGTTTGGAGTCACAAGTTCTCCCTCCTTTCTTATATTGACCTTGCATCCCCAGTTGTAGGAGTGGAATTGGGTATTTGGGTATAGACTATTGAGGTGGATTCTATTAGTGTTCTGATGTTACTAATGTGCCATCGCATTGTTATGAGTCCAAGGGTCTGAATCACTGTAGTGTGGTGTTTGAAATGTCTGTGGCACTTCTGAAACTGCTGCTTCCGCCCCTTCCCTTTTTGCAGTGTGTTCTGTTTTGTCTTTTTAAAAAATGTTATAACTTCTGCGTTATAGAGCTAGACCAATATAGCAATTCAATGCTTTATTGCCAGCAGTCAGATGACAGCTGCAAGTATTGAATTGCTATATTGGCCTAGTGCTATAGTGCAAAAGTTAGAACTCTGTTGTTTTTTTTAAAAAAGATGAAATAGAATGTGCGGCAAAAGGGGCACTGGGGAAAAGTGGCATGGAACTGGGGTGGCAAGGGATAACAACCGTGTTAAAATGACAGTGTAGTAGAGGCTGTAGTCAACAACACACAAAATTCTGTGCTTCGTGGCTGTGTAGGTAGAGCCAACAAAGAAGAGGGGGCAGTACTTTTTTGGCTATCTATAGATTTCAGTAGAAGTATTTTAATTTTCACTACCTCTTTTGCTGCTTAAAAATTATATGTTGCAGGTGGCAGGTGTTCCTATATTCCTATAGTCAAAGGAAGTTTAGGAACACAAGGTTATGCTCCACTTTCACCAAGTCATGACAGTTTGCCAACCTCCAGGCAGCACCTGGAGATCTCCCACTAATTCAATTCAACAACATATTTCAATTGAAGTCCAGATGACCAAGATCAGTTCCCCTGGAGAAAATGGCTCCTTTGCAGGGTGGACTGCTGAGAACATCTTATTGGTGATCCCTGGCCCAAAAGGCATCCAGCTGTCCATGACCAGGGCCCAGGGCCTTTTCTGCCCCTACTGTAGGCAATAATGAGTAGACAGTACTGACCTTGAGGGACAGGTGGTCTGATTCAATACAAATAGAAAAGAGGGCCAACAATAAAAGCTTAATATATCTATAGTATAGAAAAAGATACATGTATTTATTAAAAAAGAATTTAAAAATATATAAGGGCCCAAGCACACCTCATGTGAAAATACCAGAAACTATTACAAGGGCTAATGGACTTGACCTGACGAATTTTGGCTTGTATAGGCCTTTTTCAGAGGTCAAACACAGTGAGGAACATATTGGCTTATATAATAGTACAGTGCAATCATACAGATATAAAATATAAATACAAGAAGGAACAGATGAAAATTGTTCCAAAATGAAACCACTAGGCACAGAATAAAAGTACAAATGAAGCCTCCAAAGATGCAACCACATGCCAAGTAGTGTTTCACTGGTATAATTTCTGGTCCAGAAAGTGCCTTCCTATGATTGTTTAGCCAAAGTGTCCTCAGTAGAATTGTCCTTAGGCAAAGAGCAAGAAGGGCTCTTATATATTTTTTAATTCTTTGCTAATAAATACATGTATCTTTTTATATACTATAGATATATTAAGCTTTTATTGTTGGCCCTCTTTTCTATTTGACCAACCTTTTCAGGTTCTGGATCCCAGGTTTCTAGGTTCAGTTCCCCCCCCCCCTTGTCCCTGATTCAATACAAGACAGCTTCATGTGTTCATGTGTAAATAAATTAAATAACTGGCTCCTATTCACCTTTATGTGCAGAGATGCACTATGTGCTCCTGACTTGGGATCTCTTACAATGTATCATACTTTTTCTGTTCTCTCCCCCATTCATTCACCATAATGATGGGGACTTTGGTAGTAAATAATAACAGTAAGATGCCAAGTGTACCAAGGCGTTCCATTGCTGCCGAAACAAAAGGTTTCAATTCTCAAAAATGTGCGATCTGTAGTTCCTGATGAGAATCAGATTACAAAAACCCTCCTGAGACCTAATTCCTAATATAAGAAGAATATAATATCAAACACTGCATCGATTCTTGAAGTCATAATCATACATCTTTGAATTGGCAGTGAACATAAAAAGTGTTTGGATTGGAGATGGCCTTTTACTGTCATATTTCACAAGCATAACTCTTTTCTCATCTTTTTTTCCTTACAAAGAACAAAGAAGAAAGTCTCAGCTTCGATCCCATGGTGGTTACCGAAGCTTCGTCTACCACGTTTCCTGTTTGTAACTGCAAACATTTAAACTGCAATTTAAGTTCCCAGATCAACTCAAAGTTGGGTCAAGAAGCACAAGCCCTGAAAGCCTGTGACACTGTCAGACTTGAACCCCATTTTCTCCCATTTGTTCTTTCAGCAAAAAGCGGAAAAGAAAGGTATGTATCTTTCTTCTATGCCAGAAATTCTGGGTGTGCATATTGAGAATGTCTTCCTGAAGGCTCAACTTTTATATTAATAATATCCAGAGCTTTTTTTCTGGGCAAATGCTCTGGAATGGAGTTCCGGAACCTCTTTGACAAAATTCTTTTTAAAATGTTTAAACTTTCATGAGTTTTCAGTATACAGATTGAAAACTTCATTTCCCTCTTGAGAGTTCCAGCATTTCTTTTGCCTAAAAAAAAAGCCCTGATAATTAGACATTATTATCAATATCAAAAAACTTAGATAATCTCTACTGATGGGAGAAGGGGGTCTTCCATTAAAACTTGTCAGGAAGGAAACATGCGTACTTTATATTGCTAGAGTATTTAAGGTTCTTTTATTTTTATCCTGTGCCTTTTTCCATTTGGAGCATAAGCTTTGAATATTTAGAACCCAGTTAATGGTTCTGATTAATTGTCATATAAAGATCCCTTTTCAGAGATTCAAATCTGTCTTGAAATGGCATAAAGGTGACTGTTTAGTTTACGTTGATTCAAGGTTACTCAGTTACTTAACGGATTTGCATTTGGTAAGGGTCAGTGGTACTGAACGTCATTTATGTTATTTGTTAATTGGGATAGTTGGGGAGGGCTCCTCAGTAAAGGCAGAATTAAAAGTCTGCAGCTTCTTCCTTGACTGGCTTGGCTTGGACTAAGAAAAAATATATACCTTTGTAATTCAAAGTGCTCTGGCCCCTGAGAGGTTTGGAACACTTAGCCCTTCTACCCCCCCTCCTCTCTCTTAATCCTAACATACAGGCCTTTTTCATGCAATCCTCTTGTGATTACCAGTGGGATTAGGGTCTGCTGTTCACTCTACTTTATATGATGTGTCTCTCCCCCTCCCCGCCATGAACAGACGTTTCTCTGAATGTTATCTTTTCTAGTGTGAGTCCTAATGAGCTACCAGTCATAGTATTCTTAAATGCCCTGGAACATCTATCATCTTCTGCTTCTGTTCCATTTGTTAATTGTCCATCTGCTACTTGAGTTGACCTTTTAGTCTATTTTTTTCTGCAAATGGAGGAGCAGCTCCATCTCCTTGCCTCTGTTTACCTCCTTCCTTCCTTCAATTTTCAAGCCAGCCTTAGAGCAAAAGACACATTGCACAGAACACCCAAACAGCATTCACATGTGTTCCTTTAGATTATGTGGCAAAATCAGCCTTTGCATAAATAGCGAGAGGGTTTTTAAAAGTGGTTAAGATGCTGAACTGCAGGCTGTGGAAGGTCGGTAGTTCAGCAGTTCGAGACCCGGGTGCCGCATGATGGAGTGAGCTCCCGTCTCTGGTTCCAGCTCCTGCCAACCTAGCAGTTCGAAAGCAAGAAATTGCAAGTAGATAAATAGGTACCACTTCAGTGGGAAGGTAACAGCATTCCGTGCGCCTTGGTGTTTAGTCATGCTTGCCACATGACCACGGAAACGTCTTCGGACAGCGCTGGCTCTTCGGCTTTGAAACAGAGATGAGCACCGCAACCCTAGAGTCGGATTCGACTGGCTTTCGAGCAAGGGAACCTTTACCTTTACCTAACATGGAGGAAATAGAACAAAGTACAGTGGCACCTTTAAGACCAACAAAATTTAATCCTGGGTATTAGTTTCTGTGTGCATGCGTCTTAAATGTGCCATTGAACTCAAACTTTGTTCTATTGCTTCAGACCAATATGGCTACCCACCTGAATGTAAAATGTAGGAAATGAGGTAGGCTGATGTTTAAATAGCTACTGAAAAAGTACAAAGTTTGAAGAACAGTTTAGGGATGTTTCTGACATGACATTTCCCTGCTAATATTTTAAAAATTTAGACAAAGATGACATCAGAAGCTGACTATAGACATATGTTAAGTTTGTAATTATGTAACCTGTGTCAAATTTCCCAGCGTCATGTGAAAGAACCTTTTAAAAAATCTCCCTTATGTACAGTTTTATAAGGCATAAGTGCCCAAGAATAGAATTCAGTACCACTACTCCTGAAATACTACTTGGGGTGATATCCATCTGAACACTAACAGACAGTGCCATTCTAAGCAGGATTACATTCTACTAAGCCCATCTGACTTCAGTGGACCTACACAGTGTAACTCTGCTTGGGATGGCACTGAGAGTTCTCAGTCTTTCCTAGCATCAGATTTAGCATTCAGGTATACTGTTTATCCCAGAAGCTGTGCTATATCAGAATTGACCAAAAGGGGAACGTAGAGAACAGAGAGATAATTATCGACTCAGCAGCATGAATTGTACAAAACACAGGCATATGTATTCACATATTATCTATTTATTATTGGTTCACCCTATGGCAATAAAATAGATCTGGATTTAACCATAGGTCTCTGTGATTATTAAGATTAAAACAAATGTTTGAGATGGATAAGGTTCAGTGTTTCTGAACCTTAAGCTGCACATGATAAACAAGAAGCACCATAAAGAAAATATAAAATATATACTTTAAAGTATGTGGAAATGAACACAGAAAATAAACCTTGGTAGGAGCTTGCTCCTTGCTGCTTGCTCCAAAAACTCTCCCACTGATTTCAGCAAGATGAATTATTATTATTCAGGATGAACGAACATATTGAAATCTCCTCTGTCATGTTTTGTGATTGCCTGTTGTTATGATCACAGAAGAATCCCTGGATGGAGTCTGCCAGTATGTTTTATGGAGTATGTGAAGAGCCAGCCTCTGACTCAAAGAACCTTCCTTGTTTGCAATGGCCTCTTCTGCTGGAGGAAAGCTCCTAGTGCCAGAGAAGGTGCCACCATTAGTGGAATGGATCCTCAGGATCCAACCTTAATATGATTCTGCATGTGTGCTTTATAAATTATTAGTTTTTTAGAGAGCAGTTTGACTTACTACCAACCTAATACCACCAACCAGCACTATGAGTCAACATTCCTATAGGGCTGACAGTAGCTCTGTAAACATTACAGTTTGAGACACAGTGCGTGTGTAGTGGTTAGAGTAGACTGTTTGCCCTAGGGTCTGGGAGACCCAGGTTCTAACTCCTCACCCTGCAGCGGGAACTTTTTGTGTGGCCCTGGTGAGTTACACACTCAGAAGGGAGGAGGGGAGAACACTACTAGCTGCTTTGAGTCCCCGTTGGGGAGAAAAGGCTGCCAATTCTGGCATGGGGAATTCCTAGTGCTCTGGTAGCCGTGCCTGTGGTGTGGGGAAAGAAGTCAGCAGGAGTGTAATTCTGAAGAGTTGACACTTTGAGGCTGCCATTCCCTCCAGAAGAACAGATACATGAGGTCTGGAGATCTGTTGTAATTCCAGGGAACTCCAGGCCTCACCTGGAGAATAACAACCTTAGGAGAAAGGCAGGATAAATGAAGTACATACATACATATGATTTTTCTGTGTTGAATAATTATCATGTTTCATTCAATTCCTGTGCAGCTGAATGTGTAATTTAAACTTCCCATATTTACCCAGGTACTGGCTATTGGCTGTTTCTTACAAACAGGTGGTACATCTGTCCATTCATATAGGATGTATGGACATTCACCATAAAGAGTGGACAGGGCTTCACAGATACTGAAGACCTGTTTTTGAACTGGCAAAGGAGAGGAGAGTTTGGAACTGATTTGTGAACCAACAATGGACCTCTACATATAAAATAGTATTTCAGGTATACAGACAGTTTTGGTTGTTAGGCTGGTCTTTATCATCTACTGTAGTTTCTATTTCTGTGAAGATAGATCCAGGTGGTCAGCCATGTTGGTCTGAAGCAGTAGAACAAATTTAGAATCGTAGAATCACAGAGTGGGAAGGGGCCATACAGACCATCTAGTCCAACCCCCTGCCCAAGGCAGGACCAGCCTAAAGCATCTCTGACAAGTATTTGTCCAGCCTCTTCTTGAAAGCTGTCAGTGAAGGGGAGCTAACCATCTCCCTGGGCTGCTGATTCTACCTTTGAACCACTCTGACCGTGAATTTTTTTCCCCTAATATCCAGCCGATACCTTTCTGCATGCAATTTAAAACCATTGCTTCAGGTCCTATCCTCTGCTGCCAACTAGAACAGCTCCTTGCCCTCCTCCAAATGACAACCTTCAAATGTCCCCCCTCAATTTCCTCCAAACGAAACATTTCCAAGGCCCTTAGCCTTTCCTTGTAGGGCTCAGTCTCCAGACCCCTGATCATCCTCGTCGCTCTCTGCTGTCCTTTAAGACCAGCAAAGGTTTATTCAAGGTATGAGCTTTCGTGTGCATGCACACTTTTTCAAACACATTGGAATGGAAGGTAAGGTTCAAACCTTATAACCTTAGCTTGTTATTTAGTTTTGTCTTCACATGTCTTAAAATATCTTCATCGTGTTACACGTTAATTTGCTGTTCAGCCCCTGTCTATAAGTCTGAACCTTACCTTCCATTCCAATGTATTTGAAAAAGTGTGCATGCACACGAAAGCTCATACCTTGAATAAACCTTTGTTGGTCTTAAAGGTGCCACTCGACTCTATAAATTTGTTCTATTTCTGTGTTATACTATTTTTTCCACTAGCCTCTAAGCAAAATGAATGTGATAAGAATGAATAGTTATGAAAGAGATGAGAAGGTGCTTTAAAGGTCTATAATGTGTTAGAGAGATGCACTGGTAATTATTTCATCCAACAAAAACTCAGAGGGAGTTTTCATAATGCACAAGAGTTATTAGAAAGCCAGTTTAAACATAGTCATTGGTAGATGCAAATTTCGTTATGTCTTTAGAAAAGTCGGTGCTATATTAGTGAATAATACTAGAAAATAATACTGGGAAATGGATGAAGTGTACCTTTTAAAATAAAAAAATCAAATTACAATTTTAATTGCTTCTGCAAAATGCTTAAGTATATATTTCAGCAGGCACAAAATCCAGTATTTTGCTAATGAACAATCTGTGTTCTATCACTGAAAACAAAGGCATTCAAGAAAGCCAGTATGGAGATCTGATTAGAGTGTTGGCATGGGTCTGGATCCCCCACCTGTCATCAAGCTTGCTGGGTGACCTTGGGCCTGCCACATAAATTCAGCCTTACCTAGACCACAAGATTGTTGTGAGGATAAAATGGGGAAGGGCTGCTCTGAACAGGGAAAAACCCCTCCTCCCAATATACGAGACTCTTTACTTTGGTGGACTGTCCCTTCCAATCTCTTCCAGGGAGCACCCTTCCATCCTCCATCACCCCAAATCACCCTAACCACAGACACCTCCCTGTCGGGCTGGGGTGCCCACATGATGGGCCTTTGTGTCGGAGGCAAATGGGACACTCAGAAATGGAAGCAGCACATAAACTTCCTGAAACTGCTTGCTGTCACCAGTTTCCTCCCTCTGATCAAGGGGAAATGTGTTATGGTCCTAACGGACAACACCACTGCCCTGTAAGCTAGTGTGAAGAATCTGGAATACTGCAGTGAAAGAATCAAGAAAATATCTTGTTGAGTACACGAGAAACTGCAAGTTAAAACACTTGTGACAGTAGCTGGCAACTGCAGAGTTCAGGGACTGTAGGACTACCTTTGATGACGTCACGACCTGGTGTTCAGGGTTTCCATATAGGAGGTGGTGGCTCAGCCCAGGGGCAGGGAATGCCTTCGTCTGACACAGCAGCTGGATGCGGAACTCCTTCCTCTGACACAGGAGCTAGACTTACCACCGTAAGATCCTTGCCAGCTGCCTTGTGGAAGGCTTTCATCCATCAGAACTTCTGGGGGGTCTGAAGCAACTTGAAACTCCAACAACTACATATTTCGCTTAAGACAGGGTGTGATTCACACTTAACAGCAGCCCTCAGGTTACCTATTCTTTCCACTATGAATTTCTCTCATTCACGTGGTTATGAAGCACAATATAAGTTTTAGGGAATTCTCTTTACTCTGTTCAGAATGCCCTGATTGTCTGTTTATTCCACTTTTTTTTGGCTGACGAAGTGCCAGCAACCTAACTTTCTGTCAGCTCTCACACCAACTGCCAACACTAGACTCCTTTCACTGAAGTCTTTCTCCAACCAAACACTCCTTCATCTGAAATCAAACTGCCACATTCTCCTCACACTCTTAACTCCAAACTCTCTAACTCTGCTATATTCAACAAAACATTCCTCACACTCTTAACTCCAAACTCTCTAACTCTGCTATATTCAACAAAACATTTAAAGGAACACAACCAATTAACTGAAATCATTACACAGGGTGTGATTCACACTTAACAGCAGCCCTCAGGTTAGCCCCACATAACCACACATGTAATGTTATGACTACCCTCGTCGCCATTACTGTGACGTCACGACCTGGTGTTCAGGCTTTCCATATAGGACGTGGCTGAGCTGGCTGGGACTGACATGCTGGGCTGGTCAGTCAGCAATGAAGCATCCAGGGAGGGGGGAAGGGGACTTGAAAGGGAACAGAGTCATTCTCTTGTTTGAAAGTGAGAGCTTTGGTAGAAGACAGGTATATGCACTTAATCTCCAGAGCAGGGACACATCTGGGGCTTTTTAATTTCATTTTTTATTTTGTGACATCACACCCCACCAGTTTCTCCAGTGCCCCCCCCTGAACATTTCCTGGCTACAGGCCTGCCTGTTGGGGATCCCAAAATGTATTCTCCCCCTCATAGAACTTTTAAAAGATCAAGAAATCTTAAGGGCATGCTAGTGAGGAGTACATTAAGAGAACCTACTACCAGAATTTCAACAATACAGAACGTTACTATCAGTTAAAGGTTGATACATGTATGCACACTTTGAGAGTTATAGCCACGGTCGGGTACGTATGTTACAAGATTTGTCTTATTTAATTACAATTTGTTTGGTCTTTAATTAATTGAACATAATTTTTCATTTGAGTAGCTTTGCTGTATACATTTTTTTTTACAAAAATAAGTATGAAACCTGCATTCTTTGGATTTGTGGGCTTAAAAGTTTAAGATAACCTACATACAACCCAATTCTTTTGCCACACAGGATATTTGGGATGTGAGTAATCAATTCCAAAAAAGTTTTAAGTAGTTAAATTGTTTATTTCCATATATAAATTGATGGATAATTATATTTTTATTCATTTTCAGACCATATAATCAACCTGCCTTGACATTTACATGTCCTAGTGTGCATGTATATACACAGATTTGACCACAGAGGAAGGCCTTGCAGGCCAAAACATGTTTGGTCTAGTTTTAATGTGGTTCAAGGTTATCAACCTAAATATATTGAATTATTGGTCCTGTTTTACTGGTTCAAGGCTTTGAAACTAGAAATATCAAAATGTATCAGGTTACATAGATTCAGGACTTCTTAGTTCAAATATTCACCACTTCCAGGGCAGATTGTGTCAATGTTTTTAAAGTTTAGTTTCAGTGCACTTTGTAAGAAATACATATACATTTTTTAATTCATTTCTCAAAACATTTTGTTCTCTCACCCAACTTTTGGGTACCCAACAATGTTTTACTCCATGCCATAAACAATTCAGTTTCTTATTTATGTATAGTAAACCTCTATGAAAGGGGTAGGACATTTTTTCCTGTCCAGTTGCCAACTTTAGACCACCGAGAGTGGTGAAAGACTTTTTTAGCAGAAACAAAAAGGGAAAAAAACTGAACCTAACAATAGAATCCAGAACCAAACAAGAGTTAGTGAAGAAGAGGGCCAATATTAAAACCTATCTAATAAAAGTAGAAAAAGATACATGTATTTATTAATAACAAATTTTAAAACATATACAGGGGCCCATTTACAACAATTATATATAAAACATTACAATACCAAGGGCTTAAAAGCTCGACCTTACGCGTTTCGGCCAAATAGGCCTTCCTCAGAGGTCATATATATGTGGCAAAATGGCTAATACATATATTCACATACACACAATCAAGAATATATACAAAGTATAAATTCAATAAGGACCATAAAGTAAATTGTTCAAAAATAAAATCACCAGGCACAGGGTCAATATGCACATAAGACCTTTAAAGTGCTATCACTAGCCCAGTGATTATAAAGTAGACTTGTGGTCCAAAAATTCCCTTCTTTGATTGTGTTGCCACAGTATTCACAAGTAAAAATTTACTTTATGGTCCTTATTGAATTTATACTTTGTATATATTCTTGATTGTGTGTATGTGAATATATGTATTAGCCATTTTGCCACATATATATGACCTCTGAGGAAGGCCTATTTGGCCGAAACGCGTAAGGTCAAGCTTTTAAGTCCTTGGTATTGTAATGTTTTATATATAATTGTTGTAAATGGGCCCCTGTATATGCTTTAAAATTTGTTATTAATAAATACATGTATCTTTTTCTACTTTTATTAGATAGGTTTTAATATTGCCCCTCTTCTTCACTAACCTTTGTTTGGTTCTGAAAGACTTTTTTAAACACCTTCCTCTCCCCACCCCCTCAACCCCCCAAGCTGCTTTTATAGGGCTGCCAGTCTCCAGGTGGGAGTGGGGGATCCCCTGAATTTGTGGGCTTCTGCCCATCACCAGGCTGGTGGGGGAAGCCTTAACCCCAACAGCTATGATCCCACACAATGTCCGCGACTTGATGACATCACGCGGAAGTGATATCATCACGCTGGAGGCATTGCATGGTGACATTCTGGTTTTTGTGCAAAACTCTATGTTTTCAGCCCAATTTTACCATAGAGTTTGCCCCAAAACTAGAGTGTTACCTTGCAATGTTCCTGGAGTGATGACATCACTTCCACATGATGTCATCACATTGAGGACGTCATGCATGGTGACATCACCCTGCCCCCCCACTCCCAGAAAGCTCCCTTTCACCCCTGCTGGTGCAAGGTAAGTATCTGGCAGCCCTATGGTTTTATATTCCATATTTGTTTTTTTCTTGGAAGTGGTGAAAAACAGCTTGGAGATGGTAATTTGAGGAAAAAGGAAGGAGTTGCATAGGAGGTTTAAAAAAAAAAACACCTTCTCCCTCCATTTTCTGCTACTGTTTTCTCCCTGGAAATTACAGTTCCAACTGCTGCCATCTGTAGAAGAAAAAAAAGCCCTTTAATTTTTAATTTTTTAGCTACCCTAACAGTATATGTGACATGATAGCTAAAGATGGAAAGGGGTAACTAAAGGAAGCTGTTATTTAAGGGCTTGTTCTAAAGGGGTAAAAGGCTCTTAAATGGAAAATAACTCTACCTGCTCAAAGTTATAGGTTTCTGATGCTAACAGTTTAGATACAGTTACATTCATAGACACTTAGGCTTAGTGACCTGCAGTATAATCCTAAACATGTTTACTCAGAGGTAAATTCCTTTTTGTCCAAGGGACTTATTCCCAGGTGTTACTAGGATTGCAGCCTTTGTTACAGAAGTTTCTGTCATTTAGGATGAAATCACTAGTTTTCCTTCCATTTTTTAAAAAGAATACCTAGTAGCAGCCCTACCTAACAAGAAAGACTGGTTTCCACTCTTGAGTATATGGTAGTCACTTGTACCTCTGTACAGCAGAATCCCTCTATGGGATCCACCTCAGCATTTCAATGGTCATCTACATCCTATTAAATTGGACAGAGAGGCATGTTAATGAGAACTGGAATGGATATTTACATCTGAACCATTAGTTGCTTGCAAAACACATGGCCGGCACTGGATTAGGGGCTAAGAAAAACACATGCTTCAATGTGTATTGAACTGTAGTCTTTGGAATAAAAGTGCTCATTTGTTAAAAATATGCATGAACGTTTCTGTTACAGAAATGGGAAATTCAGAGTGTACCTATTTCTGGATAGGTTTTGCTTTCGTAACAGTCATTATGATTATTTCCTTGGTGAAAAATATTTCGTACTACATGCAAGAAAAGAAACGAGGTAAGAGAGATTGCATGTTTGATATCTGAGTGTGACTGTTAGAAAATGTCATAAAGGAAAATGAGTTTGCGGAGCACAGTATATGTTATTCTTAACTGGATTTTTGTAAAATTGTATTTTTCCGAAGAAATAGTAAGTTCAGTAATTTAATAATATCTAAAATATGTATCACCCCAAATATCAGTGTTACTCAAGGATAAAATCACAATAGTTCTCTGGCATTTCCTTTTAGTGTTGATGAATATACAAGCAAAGATACATCGAGCTACATTTATTCAGCGTATGTCAATCTTGCTATATTATACAACACTCAAAGCAGCTCATAGAGTATTAAAATGTTATCAATTTTTAGATGTATCAGTTTAAAATTTAAATGGTATACAGCAGCATATATCCAGTATATTAGTAATATAAAGCAAGGGATGTATTGCACACTCTTTGCATGCACAATGTTCTATCTCAGGAAGTTAAAGAAACACAGGGATCAGGTATGAGAGACACTACCAATCAGAGTGAACAGTACTGGATTAGCTAAACCAATGGTCCGACTTGGTATAAGTGGGAAGCAGTGAGCTATATTGGAGTTAATGTTTGAAAATATATTTAACTATGAATAAGGTCCGTTGTGGAAATAAATACAACGAGCTCTAGAAAGAGGCTCTGGGAGAGTGCCAAGGCCTTGGGGAATGGCTGGTTGGGAGGCTGGAGTCTATGGTATTGTACCTGTCTAAGGTCCTACCCCTCCTCAAACCTCACCCTTTCCAGGTTCCATCCCTCAAATCTCCAGGAATTTCCCACCTGGAGTTGGCAACCCTTTCTCCTTCCCAGTCAATTTTCAACCTAGCTTTATTTCCCCTTCCCTCTTCAGCTTTCCTTTCCCCCCCCCCACACACACCTGTAGCCTCTTCTGTGCTCTGAAGCCCTGCCACAGAGTCCACCATTTTCTCTAGGGGAACTGATCTCTGCCATCTGGAGAGCAGTTGTAATTCTGAGTGATCTCCAGCCCTCACCTGGAGATTGGCAACAATGGTTTCCCAGGAGGAAAAGTAGTCTTTCTCTGCAATGGCAACCAAAGCAGCTTATATCATTTTCCTCTCCCCCTTTTGACTTGCACAACAACCCTGTGAGGTAGGTTAGGCTAAAAGTCTGTGACTGGTCCAAAATCACCCACTCAGCTTCTACAGCAAGAACCTGGATCTAGCAGACCCTGCTCTGAAGCACTGACTGCTACGGCCAAAGCAGCAAACCTCCAGGTGGAGCCTGAAGATCACCAGGTATCACAACTGAACTCCAGACAAGATATCTCTCCCCCCTGGAGAAAATAACTGCTTTGGAAGGTGGGCTGTATGTCATTCTGTTCAGCTGAGGCCTCTCCCTTCCCCAAACCCTGGCTTCCATAGTCTCTACTAGAAAATCTCCAGGAATCTTCCCTCCTGGAGCTGGCAACTAGTCAGGACTGGCTCCAATGACTTCCTCACAAAGGCCTGCAAAGGGTTTCCTTCCTTTGTCTGAACCAAACTTGGTTGCCTACTATGGCGAAACAGGCTCCAGTGTACAACTCAGCTGTTTGCCTCCCACCCTCGTCTCGTGGGCGTATTTCACTCCTTAAATTCGCTGCCACCACTCATGGAATCGTCTCTGCCTTTTTAGAGAGACAGTGAGACCCCTCTGGCCGAATCTCTCTATTTGGAGATGGAATCCCCAATCTTTGGGGGATCCCTGGAAAGTGGGCAACCCAGGGTCTTACCTTTCCTTGCTTCCCTGGGCTACCCCCTTCCTTTGGTATTGTGCAGAGCAGGGGAGACTATGTGGTCAGAGCACAACACAGATTATTAGCCCAAATTAAAGAATTTATTTAACTATTTACACAGTTATGGAGCACACACACACACTGTAGGAGTAAACACACACTATGAACCAACAGGGCATAAATCAACAGGGATTA